TCCGAAACTCTTAATAACAGGACCATCCGGAGGAACTGTAAGATCAATTATACGCTACCAGATGATTGAATTTGGCTGCTTCCTGTTTTCAAGCACTCTGAAAACAACACCCTGTTTATTCTAATTCTGTTTTTCAGTCGTACTTTTAGAGGTCAGACATGATTTGAACGTATCGGCAGCACCACAGGAATAGTCGATTATGAGTTCAAATATACTGCTGGATTATAGGTTTCCACCAATGTTCGATGGTGGCTACAATGAAACAAACAACATATGGGTATTCGAGTGAGTGAGTGAGTAAGTGAGTGTTGCTCGCGTCGCTTTTAGCAATATTCCGGTCGAATGCTTTGTTAACAATAATCAACGCTGTTAAAGCGTGGGGTTCACACACTGAACGCATGTTGATAATTGAAACCTGACGAGTGAACGTACCCCATGTTTACATCAGAGGGGATACTAAATGCATCATATCAGTGAGCATCACGGGCCAACCTCATACAGTTTTCATAGCAGTTTTGGGGTCAGGTTCGTTTTAAAGTTTGTGATATCCTTCAGCCGGCTTGTGAAATGAGCGTTGCTGAGAACGAAGGCAAACAGCAAACAAAAAACAAACATATTTTACTTTGTATCTGAAACATTTTAGGATTTGTTATAATCATTTTATAGGTGAGATATTAACAAATCAGGTTAAACAAAAGTAATCATGAAAAAATTTTGATGAACATTCTAGAAGTTGGTTAGTCAATAACGAACCGTACGACTTTCTGGATCACAACTTCTTGTTGATTGACTTCAAGAAAATTCATGGAAGCCATCGAAATCCTAACCTTTGCTAATCAGAGATCAAGAGTGCTACACACTTCGCTTACGAAGAGTAAGTCAAGCTATAGACTCTATCAACTATTCAATTATCCCTCCTATGTACTCGTAGCATGGCTTGTGCTATATGCTTTTCAGCCAATAATGTACCGCTTGTTATCAATTTCCTGCTTTTGTAATGCAAATCTGCTGCTTGTCACAACATTCGTTGTTCAAGGAAAACAGTGAAAACTTGTCCAAGCAGATGGCGTCAGTTACTGTCACTTTTCTCACTTCATAACATTTGTTATTGCCTTCGTTAATTTACTTAACGTTAAGATATGCTGTGTGATAATCTACAAATGTAAGTCAGTCAGTATTAGCTGCGTTGCGTTCTTGCCTTTAATGAACACCTATTGACATGTTTTGGTTCAACGGGAAGAATCACTCGATGCTTCTACTTTAACATAGACCGTGCATGAATGTGTCTGTGTTGTCCACTACAAACACTATTCAATAAAGCATCCGTACTTTGCATAAATCTTCAACTTTTGACAACCTTGGTAAGTGAGTGAGTTGAGCTTAACGCCGCTTTGAACGATATCCGCGTTAAATCTCGGCGTGTCAGATTCATTTGGGAGGAATGGCTGAAGTGGTGCAGGTTTCTAACGTGTATCGATTAGGTGCGAAACTGGATCACACTCACAGGATCCTGGCGTGGGCAAGGGAGGCGACTCTGCACAGCGAACTAAGCTGAGCAATACGTCTAGGCCAAGCGTGCTCTGGCACAATAGGAACTGAGTGTATGGCAAGTTTGTGTCGTCACGTTCAAATACACAAATACCGTTACAGTGTGTCCATGAATGGCAGCATGTGGCGCAGTATGGTTATAAAATAACAACATACCTGTAAACTCAAAACACAATAAGTGCTTGATGTTCTTGACGACTAATTACATATTGTGATGTTGATTACGTTAATCTTGGAGCCGGTGGAGAATGCCCCCGACAATACCCTTCCTAGATTCACACACATACACCTGTATTGTCAAAGGTTTCATAACACTTTTCTTTTTAAATGACTCAACCATTATCGAAATGCAGCCGGGAGTCAATACTTAGTCAATATCCTTTCACAACTAACATGTATCGTGGGTCGGTGTTTCGCAAACGTGCTGCAGAAACTAAATATCGTCACTGAGGCGCTTCCAGAGTTTCCCAGCTGATGATCGTGTAGAAGATGTCTTTGATGTGTATGTAGGCACTTCCTGTTTGTTGGTTGTTTAATGCCGATCGATTGATTGTTGTTTAACGCCGCACTCAGCAATATTCTAGCTATATGACGGCGGTCTGTAAATAATGGAGTCTAGACCAGACAATCAACATCATGAACACCGATCTACGCAATTGGGATACGATAACATGTGTCAACAAGTCAGCCAGCCGGATCGTCAAGGGTGGTTTAACGCCGAGCTCTGTGTTCTTGATGTAAGGGGTGGTGGAGTAGTCTAGTGGTTAAAGCGTTCGCTCGTCACGCCGAAGACCCTGGTTCGATTCCCCACATAGGTACAATGTGTGAAGCCCATTTTCCGGTGTCCCCCGCCATGATATTGCTGGAATATTGCTAAATGCGGCGTAAAACCAAGCTCACTCATTCACTCTTGATGTAATTAGAGAACTTCTTGTGAACAAAGTGAAAAAACTCAGGTGATCATATTCATGGTTAGAATATGTCCCAGCAATGGTACTTGGACCAGGTAGCCAAACTTGGTGACCTGGGTGTCTTCGTGTCATCGTGACCCGACGGCGTAGAACGTTGTTCATGCTATCAATCATTGTTTATCCAGACCCAGATTCGATTACTGAATAGCCGTTGTGACTTACACATCAAACAAAGGCCCGAATTTTATCTGTTTGAAAAGGTTTTAAACAATGATTTTATGAAAGAGTGAGTGACAGTGCTTTTACGTCGCTTACTGTGATATTCGAGCAGTGTCGTGGGGCTCCACGCATTAGCTTTAGAACTCACTTCCAACCCGGCGGACCCGGTGTTTCAGCATGACAAGCTACCGCTTTCACCAATCGGCAATACCACTGCCCTTTTAAAAGTTAGAAGCAAATTCTTTATAAAGTTTTGTCATATCAAAGGCTCATTCAATGAAAAGTAAGCTGGAAATGCTACCAGATGACGTAAGACAAATTAACACAGCTTCATGAGGACGCTGGTGAATGAAAATACTACGTTGTTGGACTTTTATCCCAGTAGGCTGCTGGGGGCAAATAATGCAGTGATACGAGAAGCTGAACAAAGAAAGACTATGTCGACTATGTGTTATACAAAAGAGTTGCATGCAACGAAAGATATATCTATGTACCCTGCTGCAGGTTCCGTGAATATTTGATGTTGAATCCGCGCACATTTCTTTCAAATAACCAAACCAAATGTCCATAACCAATGTCTTCAACCTCGTAAAACCAGGAGAGCCGTATACCATTCTCATTCGAATCTCACGAGTGATTAGGTACGCGGGAATCCCCGCACGTGTAGTTCCTTCAGCACGTTTGTGAAAATATGACAGTTACCACCTCATCATTAGAGACAACATTGAATTCAACACGCAATCAGCAGATACTGCTACGGGACGCAACACCTGGACCACTGGGCAAACTGTCACCCCAGAATGTGTGTTCATTACTGATGATAATAGAGGACGATGGATGCAGCTCCATGAAAAGATAACTTTCAATTATGTGTGCAGCCGAGTCATTACACGTTGTATGTGTGTTAAGTTTGATTACTAATCCATAAACAAACCACAAGCACCTGCTGTGCACTCCCTGCCTTATGTCTTCGTGTATATTCCATGCCAAATCGACCGTGAAGATCCGGGTTAGAATTGTTCCTCAGTAACCAATGCTTGTCGTAGGAGGCGACTAATGGGATCGGGTGGTCATGATCGCTGATTTGGTTGACACATGTCATTATAGCCCAACTGAATAGCTCGATACTCATGCTGTTGATCACTGGATTGTCTGGTTCAGACTCGATTATTTACAGACCGCCACCTTGTAGCTGGAATATTGCTGAGTGCGGCGTAAAACTAAACTACGTGCCAAATCGACCACCTTTAAAGGTCATGGTTTACGGGTTAGAACCCTGCAGATACCTATTGACCTATGTTTGTTAGGAAGACGTAAGGGAGTAGGTGGTCAAGCCCCATGGCTTTGGGTCATAATAGCGGTGGGTAGCCTAGTGGTTAAAGCGTTCGCTCGTCACGCCGAAGACCCGGGTTCGATTCCCTACATAGGTACAACGTGTGAAGCCCATTTCTGGTGTTCCCCGCTGTGATATTGTTGGAATATTGCTAAAAGCGGCGTAAAATCTAAACTCACTCACGCGTAGCCAAGTGTTTTCTGATACACCCTCAATCAGTTGGAGTTCTGGCCCCGATTTCTCGAAACAAACTTAAGTCTGAGTTTTGACTTAAGTTAGAGTTTTTACTCAAATTTGAGAAAAGGCAGGGAAATGCATTATCCAGAATGAACTGAAATCGATATTAAACTCAAACATAGTAGACAGTTTGAGTTTGGTAGACAGATTACTTAAGTTGTTTGGGCTTTTTATTTTAAAAAATGCAGTTGCGTTAAAAAATCAGTTGTTTCAAATTGTCAAACTCAGTTTGAAATTTGAGTAAAAACTTAAGTTTGTTTCGAGAAATCGGGGCCAGGTGAGTGTTACGTTCGTAAAATAACCAACAAAACATTTAGCATGAAGATTTTTTAGTGCCTTTTAGTTTAAACAACAAACAGGTGTTTCGCCTGGTACTCACTTTAAGTATATGTTTTCATACAGCTTGAATAGTGGGGACTGCTACATAGGTTAATCAGAAAACAGGTAAAGAAACACCGGAACGTTATCACACACGTGTTTATTTCGCCGACGGTGGTATGTTACCGGGATGTTGCTGAAAATACAGGTGCGCGGTACTGGTCTCATATTGTAATGTTAATACCTTAATCGTATTACCTCATTTGGCATTCTCTTTGTTACAGCAGTTGTATCGAACAGAAAACTGAACGAAGACCAATTCCACTTCTGAGCAACTGACATACAATAGTAAGGTTACCCTTTAATGTGCGCCAGTCAGGCGATACGTTTAGGCTCAAAGGTAAACACAACTGGAGAAGTCAGTCAGGCTTGGCCATAGAGCACGGAGTCACCGCACAGGACGCTAGAACACTGAGCAGTCGATATTCCTTCATTAGTGAAACTCGGTTCAGAGCCAAAACAGCTTTTCAAAATGCTCTCTGTCTTCATCTCTCTGTTTCGTTGCTTTGTTTTAATTTCCACATTGGGAAACGGTGGAACTGGAATGACTTTTACTTCAGGTAAGTAGCTCACATTTCTCATTTTAATCCCAAGAGAATAGTACGGTTTGGTTTGATGTTTCCAATGGCAAATGGTTCATTTGTCCACGTGAACATAAGTGATATTGTATACATGTTTGGAAATATATGATGGTGATGGATTGGTTTCAATTGAATTAAGAGCTTCCATCGGGGTATTGACAATCAGATGTATCTTACAACTAAACAATTGATATAATATGTGAACGTGCGTATTGTCCATGATGCCAATTATATTTATTTAATATGAAGTTTCAAGCTAGTTAAATAAACTGTACTGGGCGAATATACACTTGCACTGATCTTTTGCATCAATTACATTGAATTAAAACGTTTCTTTTGAATTACAAAGAGATGTAATTAGATGGTAATTTTTTATTGGACTAGCAAAAAGGTAGAAAGTGTTACCTTTATGACTTTGTCCGGACAGACTATATCACCACAAGCTGCCATAAACGTTTTCTTCTCTATGTGATTGATGGAATTTGTAACATACAGCTATAATCATAATGTCATCTCTAGCTTAAGAAAGTATTCGGGTTTTTTTCACAATTCCAAAATTCCCGGTGGTCAATTCAGATGTTTTTCTATTATTGATACGTACAGTCTACACTGCCATATTACTGATTGAAATGAGTCTCTGCTGATACTGGCCAAACCGTATTGGATTTAACGTGTTTCATACAGTGTTGGGTATCATTTTAACGTTCTCAACTGATAGTTAATTCTGTATCTCTTCCTTCAGAAGACGTGCCGTTTTGTATAAAACAGAATGTTTACATTCTTGACACAAAATTGTAAGTGACAATATTGTTTGAGCACATTTTTTTAAAATATATGTCGGTTATGCCTACTTCATCCTACTGCGATTTATTGTTCTACCGACCCCGTGAAGATACGGGTAAGAATTGGTCTTCAGTAACCCATGCTTGTCGTAAGAAGATCGGGTGGTCAGCCTCAACAATCAAAACAACTACAAATACTTTTGTCACTGTGTTATATCGACAAATGTTGAACAGTAACTTTGGTAACACTTATCTGTTATTATGTCAACTGTGATTAAGTGGCAGGATACATACGATATCCATCAAATTTAGCTAAAGTCGTAGTGAGCGAGTGAGTTTTAGTTTTACGCCGCACTCAGCAATATTTCAGCTATATGACGGCGGTCTGTAAATAATCGAGTCTGGACCAGACAATCCAGTGATGAACAGCATGAGCATCGATCTACTCAATTGGGAACCAATGACATGTGTCAACCAAGTCAGTGAGCCTGACCCCCCGATCCCGTTAGTCGCCTCTTACGACAAGCATAGGTTACTGAAGACCAATTCTATCGCGGATCTTCACGAGTCAGCTAAAGCATGTAGATGTCAACATACGGCTAAATGAAATAAACATGATCAAAAAGTATTATCTATTGTTATTTGAAAAAAAACTTTGGTCACATTTCCCTTGTTTCATATATGGTACATTCAGTTTTACACATTCTCATTTGGACTTTATGAGTGAGATCAAAGTACCCGTTGAATTTTATGCCAGATAATATTGGTATAACAACTAATGATGACAAGACAACAAACATTGGTTATTGAAGAGAGACCAGGTATTCAACAGAATTACAAGTTGTCCTCCGTAATGGTTTGTTGATAAGCAGACAGTGAGATCACAGTGAGTGAGTGAGTGAGTGAGTGAGTGAGTTAGAGATCACACTGAAATGTGACAAGTGTTTGTTACATTTATAATGTAGCTAACAAAACTGATCTTATTTACATCATGTTATCACTGCTCTGGATAATACTTTTAAAGCAATCGCGTTCGATAGCGAGCTACAACATACTTGCGTTAATTGTTCACATAAATTACATAAACTATTCTAGCGTTGATCATAGGAACTTTGAAGGTTAGGTCTTAACTTCATGGTGTGATAGCGCTATGCGACCATTGTGTATGTGTGTACAATGTTGTGTGCCGAGTATGACGCGGTTACTGATGTTACTAAGTTCACTGCAATGCATAGCACCAAGATACCTTCGTGTACATCAGCTTGACAGGATAGTTGCTCCTTGAAGTCGTTTTCTTTCCGTAGGGCGGGAATTAAAGTGAATGCGACATTAGGAGAACAAAAGACATACGTTTTTATGTAGATTGTGTACTACCAATAATGCATGGCATGCGTTTTCGCGAAAAACCGGTGTTTTTACTGATTAACAGTGATGCACGAGAATGGAAATTCATAGTGTCAAAAAGCTTAGGTCACTGGGTAAATACACGCACCGGTTCGGTATATAAAAATTTAAATGAAAATGATATTGCAAACGAATAATATGGCTGTCACAGCACTCGAACTTCGCCGACATGAGTGGTTGCCTGTAGTTTTTCAGCAATATTTCGGCATTATTCTGGGGAAAACCTGAAATGGGCTATACTCAATGGACGCAAGTGAGGAATCGAACCCGGACTTTCGGTGTAACGAGCGAACGTTTTATTGACTAAACCATCCACTGACAAACGTTCGTAATAGGCGATGAACGGGATCGGTTGGTCAGACTCGAAAATAAAGCTAATGCATGCCATTGTTTCCCATTTGTGTAGATCGACCCGTCGTATGTCAGTTACTGGGTTTTCTGATCCAGACTGAATTACGCATAGGTCACCGTCACAGAGATGGAATATTGCTGATTGCAGCGTCGATTTAACAAAAGACAAACATGACTATCCCACTGCCTCCGTCCCACGTACATGGATGTGGTAATGTGCTACATGGAAGGTTCAGGCGGTTCAACTATGTAACTAGCAGTATGTCATTATGACCCAAACATGTACAATCAACCTATTGTTCGGCTAAGACACGGCTATACAGAAGCTGGATTACAATACCATGCCTGCTGAGTACAACAATGGTTGGTTGTTGTTTAACGCCGCATTCAGCAGTATTCCAGGTATATGGCGGCGGTCTGTAAATAATCGAGTCTGGACCAGACAATCCAGTGATCAACAGCATGGACATCGACTTTCGCAATTGGGATACAATGACATGTGTCAACCAAGTCAGCGACAAGCATGGGTTACTGAAGACCAATTCTAACCCGTATCTTCCCGGGTCGGTAGAACATTAATTCGCAGTAGGATGAAGTAGGCATAACTGAAATATATTTTTAAAAAATGTGCTCAAGCTGTCGCTGTTGCCGACCAACCTGACCTTCCAGTTTCCCAGATCCAAGACATGGTGCAACATTACAGAGTGACTTGGACTTTCAGATGTAGCAAGACATGTCACTAGGATGTAGAAAACGAATGGCAGTTTAAATGGCAGTTTAAAAGCATGTTTTCTCAGTTTCGTATTTTTATCCAAACAGGCTCCCGATCCTCAAAGCATTCGTAACGTTACGACCTGTCGTAACTCTATACTTCTCCATAGGCTTACGAATGTCGTAGAGCTATGAACGCTTTGTGGGTCGGGACCAAGTTCTCTCTTCATCAAAGCTTTACAGCACATATTCTGGAATCTCTTTCAGACGGTCCTTCTGTTTTGACGAAGGTATACATGGCTATGGTGCCTGAGTTGGAAGATGGAAGTAAGGACGCCGGTTATATCTACCTCACAACATCTGCAGCTACGGCTACTGACGCGTGGGTGAATGCAGGATCTGGCAAGATTTATCAAAACGTCATCTCAGGTGAAACAGCGAGCGTAAAATTGCCTAAACAAGTTATTTTGATACGAGGATCTGTAAGAAAGACAAACGCTTTCAACGTTGTGACGACAAAAGATTTAGGGATCTTCTTCCGAAACGAGTGGACATTTTACCAAATGAGAGAGTTGAGCCAGTTACCTTTCACGTATACTGTTGTATCCTATAGCGATGCTACGGATCCGATGCTGTCTGTGATAGGAATAAGTGTGGTCTTTGACGCTACGAAACTAACCATTACTTTTAGAGAAGGAATAAATGTCACAAACGTTCTTGGGTCAGTACCTAAAGGTCAAGTAAAAGGACAAAAGTTAGTGTTCTCCAAACAGAACCACCGTGTAAATATTAAACTGGAATTTGATGAAGATTTAACCGGAACCACCATTGAGAGTTCACATGCGATTGCAGTAATAGCAGGGGCGATATCAGTTGATAATACGACAAGATCTGTTTATATAGATCACATGGCAACACGAAACTCTGGCTCAGTCTACATTGTATTTGGTTTGCCAGATATAGACGGAAGTGACACTATTCGTGTAGTCGCAAAATCTCCTGATACCAGTGTTACCTTAGACAATAACCCACCAATAACTCTCACCGAGACAGGCGATTTTGCAGATGTGTCTTTTTCAAGAGGATCTTTTCACATGCTTACCGCATCGTCTGAAGTAATTGTTGCAATATTACTTAAAAATGGCGGACCAAGAAAGACCGACATGGTGATTGTGCATCCAGTCAACTCAAGCACGACTTCAAAGTATCAGTTTTCTATACCCTCGCTATCAAGTGATGTCAACTTTAAACACTATCTGGTAGTAACTACAGACTCGAGTGGACAGGCCAGTATGGTCTTGAACGGACAGGCTCTGCCCTCGGAAACAGTTTGGTTCTCTATTTCCGGAACAAGTCACGTGGGAGGATACGTACCGCTTGTCGACACTGTACAAGCTCAGGTAATAGCTACCACTGATGGATCGTATTTCAACGCTTATCTTATGGGCTACGGAGATGACGCAACGTATGGATCGGCTTTAGAAGGCATTGATACGCCCCAGGTATGTTTTATGTTTAGTGAAGGGATGGGAATCGTGTGTCTATTACACTTTTAAAAAGATAGGTTAACTTCATTTTTAATTCACGATTGAAACAGCTGGGAGATACATCGGAGTCAATCAATGTTGATATGATAATAATGAATGTTTTGAGAGTGCATCACCACTTGCACTTCCTTATGACCATAGCTGTTTGTACAGTAACCGTTCTTGAAAGATGATTGGTGTATCCAAATTGAAAGATCAGGTTCCCCTATTTCTTTAAGAGTATAGAAAAATGCGCTGAAGTTGTTTAACATAAATAATATCTGTTGCACTCTGTATGCTAGTTAATTTTGGCGAAGACTAAATGATTGGCAGCAGTTCAATAAAGATATTGCCATCCCTTACAAAGCGATGGTTTTCAAGCATACGTATTTAATCATGTTGTAATGTGTGTTTCAATCCAGACAGCATTGTCACAAACAATGCATGTCAAAGCATCCGAGACGTATCCCTTAACTTACGTCAAGTCATACAAACGTAGGAATTAAAATTGCAGCTGTGCATTTAAAATTGCATTTGTAATACTTTGCAAGGTAATACCTCAACAGAAACTCGGATCATTTGAACACCTGCACGTTTGAGTTCAATCAATGATATTAACGCCCAATAATGTTTTTGTTTCGCAATATTGGTGATAAGTAGCTAATATACTCACCAATATTGAAAACGAACCAGTCTAAAATTGTCCATATTTTCATCAAGATGGATTTCAGCATGACAATGATCAATGAATATGACTAACCTGACGTCGAAGGGCATGTCTAGTCGAAAAAATGCTTTAGAAACAAATTCCTGTTCACAGTATGACTCTTAATTCCAAAACGCATCAACATGCAGCCACGCCATGAAAAAAGCGCGAATTTCATTCTGAAATCATGCTGACTGTGACATTAAAAGCAGGTGTATGAGAAACGATTCTCATTGCTTCACTATCAACTGTGAAACGAGGACAGAGATGTCGAGGTTAACACCTCTCGAAAGAGAACATGCACTAGGCATGATTCAGGTTGGCTCCAGCAGTAGGGATATTGCTCCACAACTTGGACTTGGCCACTCCACTTCCTAGACGACATCAGAAGAAAGGTAGCACCCTCGACCTTCCACGACGCCCCGTCAGGATCGCCATATTGACCTTAACCATATTCGTGATCGAACACTGCCGACTGCCAAGACTGCTGCACTAGTTCAAGGTCGACGTGGGGTCATTAGTGCTGACACCATGCGACGCCGTCTACACGCTCCATGCTCGACGTCCTTACGTAGGACCAATTCTGACTGACAGACACCGTAATGAGCGTATACAATGGACTAAGAGGCGTGGTCAGCATGGTGTGGTAGTCACTGACGAGTCACGTCTTCATGTACGTAATGCTGACGACCGATTACGTGTTTGGCGTAGACGTGGTGAATGTTATGCTGATGAGTGTGTGGTTCAGACAGACCGTTGGGGTGGTGGGAGTGTCACGGTCTGGGGTGAAATAAGTTACAATCACAGGAATGCCTTCATGTTTGTCAAGGGAGAGTTAATGCCCTTTACTACCGTGACCAGTTTCTTCAGAATTACGTCGTATCATTCTTCAGTCACCACCAAGATGTCCATACTTTTCAACAGGACAACACACGGGCTCACACAGCTAGACTTTCCATGCAGTATCTGGCCCAGCAACACATCCAGGTAATTGGTTAGCACTGTCGCCAGATGTATCCCCCAGTGAGCACTTGTGGGACGAAATTGGTCAAAGTCTTTCGCGGCGACAAAAGATGCGAGACATCCGGGAACTTGAGGCTGCACAACCGCAGAAGTGGAATGCCATCCTCCAGAACTCTATTCGGACGCTTATTGAAACAATAAGGAGACGTTGCACTGCATGTGTCAATGCAAATGACGGTCACACGCGATACTGACTTTTCGATTTGACCACACGTGTATCTGATCCTTTCTGACTGCGAAAAATATCAATTCCTCACACGTGCTTTTAGTAATCTGAACTTTTATAAGTGGTGCGTTTTCAATGTTGGTGGGTATATTATATAAGATGATTGAGTTTGGGTTAACACCACAAATATCCATCCATACCCTGACGGATGGTCATTTAACTTGTTCATGAACTATGAAGGAATAGCTGTGTCGCTTGGGGTCTAGGACTAAAGTCACCCGGACAAAAGCCACGTTAACCATTTTTAACAAAAACAAATTCCTTTTAAATTAAACACTTTATAAAATTTACATTTTAAAAATCGTTAACGTCAATTGTGCTCTTTGTAATGATAAACAACAGGGTGGCTTTTGTCCTGGGTGCATTTCCCTAGGTGGCATTTGTCCAGGTAGCTTTTGTTCGGGTGGTTTTGTCCAGGTGGTTTTTGTCCTGCTACCTGTCACATGGCCCGTGTGAGTTCATTTTTATTGCTGACAAAGCTTATTCAGTGTGTTTGTGGCGTGTGACAATTCGTGGTCATATCGTAACCTTGTGTCAATACCAACTGGGCCCAAAGCTTTTCTCTAACATTTAACGCCTTGTCTTCGAGCATGTTAAGGCAGGCACTACTACATCAAGGTTGTTTGCTGTTGAATGATTAACTGATTGTAAGAATTGAATTTACATGCTTAACTGATGTTTTGTTCATTTATCTTATTTAGGAAGACACTTCTGACCTACAGTTTACATTGGACAAGACGTTTTGTGAAAGGACAGGCCAGACCGGAAACTATATCTCCAATGGAACACAAAGTAAGGCCAGCATCCACATCCGGCTTAGTTTTGTTGAGTGAGTGAGTAAGTGAGTGAGTGAGTCAAAGTTTATAGTCACAGCGGCAGTATTAGTAATAGTAATGAATCCATGATAAATGCACAATTTATAAAATAAATCCTGTCGACGAAGGACAGTAAAACCAACTAGTATGTCATAGTAATAAGAAACAAAACTAGCATATATAGGATTTCAAATTAGGATTATACAATATAAAAAAGGGCTGAGGATCGCCAAAAACTGAAGGTAGATCACCCTTCTAGGGACCATGGGGACTTTGCTACCTGCATGGACCATAGCTGAATTTATGCCATCCCTTCAGCCATTGGCGATTGTACTGATATTCAGCCATAATATATTCAGCTTGATATTCTACAATTAATAAGGTGTGTTGAGCTAAATTGACTTTGAAAGTTTTGGGACTTACGTACAATCTCAGGAGGACTAGTTTTGTTGAATTTGAAAACATTCTTAAACTAAGTTTTACTTAATGTCGAGCTATAGCGTACAGAAAGATGCATCTGAAGTTGTCTGTAGAGGTTACCCATACATTCAAGTTCTTTTACCGTTGGGACAGTAGGCTAGCCTTGTAGTAGTCAAAGCGTTCGCTCGTCACGCCAAAGACCACGGCTCGATTCCACACATATGTACCATTTGTTGTGTCCTATTTCGTGATATGGGTAGAATAATGCCAAAAGCGGCGTAAAACATACTGACTCACTCTTTTACCCTAAATACCCTCTATTACTTACAAAACAGCGCCAGCATACTGTAACCTATTTTATAATTGTCAACAGATTAACTTGCCAACAAAGACAGACAACAAGCTTAAGTTGATGTCAGCTTTGTATTCAAATATTGTCTGCATAGGTATTAAGTAATAACTGAGTTGATTAACGAATCATTCAGCTAAATTTCCTTTTGTTTTACACGGAATAAACATTACAAACGCCATGATTTTCACACACAGACAAAGAGGCTATTACAGATACACTTTGTGCAGACTTGGCTGACCAGTGGCCACCATACATATTTCATTATAACTTTTCAAACACTTCGTACACACTCAGATGTCATGGTTACTGTACGCTTCATTGGTCCAGTGACTTTAGAGGTGAAAATGTTTTCAGAGGATCACGACTCACGATTGTTTTTGCAGGCCCGATCAACTGACAACTACATGCAATTTACTCCTCCTTATATTTACGATATCCAAACACGATCATTGTTGTGTAATTCATAATATTTTTGGGACGGTGGGATAGTAAAGTGGATGAAGCTTTCGCTCGTAACGCCGAAGACCTGGGTTCGATTTCTTACATGGGTACAATGTGTGAAGGCCATTTCTAATGTCCGACGCGGTGATATTGCTGGAATATTGATATACTAACATATACACAATGCTCAATATTTTACCTTAAAACCTTTTAACTAAAGCAATTAAATGTGGTCAAATATTGCCGACAATAGCGTGACTACGTCACTGAGTATCAGTCGTGACACCAGGTGTTCGCGATGAAAGATGCTGGGTTAGAGTTTTCAGAATGTGAAGATCGATGCTCGGGATGAAGAACGCTTTTCACTTTTCTTAAGTCCAGTTTCGATTATTCACAGACCGATATTATTGTGCTGAACTGGGGCACTGAACAACAGACAAAACCAATTACCTCGGATATTTCTGTCATGGTTGAATGGAGACTTTATCCTAAGATTGATTATAAAACCTAACGCACAGGTTACCTGGATTTGCAATTAAGACATATTGTATTTATCTCTTTCATATTTACGTTTGAAAACATTAACTTTGTTGGTGCAAATCCGCAGGTGTTGTTTTGATCTTACTGCTGAAACTATCATACTATTCGATACATCGATTCTCTCCGCACATTTATGGATTATAATATTACCACTAAAACGAAAGTATTGCACTTACCTTGTTTTTATATGTACACTATTGTCATTCTCAGCCATGGCATTGTATGCTTCACATATTTCATATATCACAAATTGAACGATACCGCAATTATAATTAATACAACCAAGAAAAAACTGTATTTGATGATGCTGTATATTAATCAATACTTGGCATTGTCTCCTAACTTGTCGCAAGTGCAAATGACCAAAATATTGTTTTTTACCACAACCTAAACTTTCATATTTAGATCTATTCAGTCAACTTCACCTTCAGCCATCTTCCAGCCGTTCCAAGGATTTATGCATTTCCAAAATGTGTTTATGTGTATTGATAAAAACGTTTTGTTTCACAAATGTTATCTTTGGTGACACTACAATAATCAAGTGAGCAGGCGACACCCTTCCTGGATATAGTTTTAGCAACCGATCTGCCATGAAAGTATTTTTAAAGGAAAAATTATGAGTTTCGCATGTGCTCTTGTAGTTAGTATATGCTTCACGTAACACTACTGCTCCATCATATCATGTCATTATCATCATTATTATCACTCAATATTATGAATATATGTTTCAGTGGAAATCACAACAGTAACTTCACGAAAGAATAAACGGTTCCTATCGTACAAATCAATTCACCGGACAACGCTCCACCTACAAGCATGCCAGCTGACGTGTTTCCTTTATTCCGACTGTATTGGAGTCAACTACAAGAATGTGTCGTCACCAAATGAAATCAACTGTGACATCATCATGAATGGAGATGGGTGCTCGCTGAAAGGTTCTGGCTGGACAAGATACTATTTGAAGTAGTTGTAAGAAGACCATAAAGTTTCCAAATGTATCACAAAGATTCTTGTGTCAAAGAGATCTTACAATAGACCATTCAACCAAACAGTGTTAAAACAATTTATGACAAATTGTCATGGACGAACGTAACAACCAGATATTTACAAAATGGTCAGGCCACGAAATTCTCTCGGGCGAGCTGTGCATCTGAAGTTACCCTCATGAATCGCCTAGCCGTAGGTTCAAATCACATATACACGGAAAAAGGTATCGCAACAACCCATATTTGGCGTAGTATCAATATCTGGATCACGGAATAATTAAATGGCAAATCTGACGTTTAAAGCAAACATGGCAAATAATTGATCCATTATGAAGTGCTATACGTATGGACGTATGGCGTTAGAAAAGTGTGGTCATTTTCAAGATTCAGGCATGCTATCCTCAATCAGTCACATAAATATCAATGCCAATGTTAATATTTGGTGTAACCACCTCCAACAGTAATAACATCCCTGACCCTCCTCCTCACTGGCTGCATCAGACGTTGAATTTGATGTTAAGGTCTTGCGCTCCATTTTTGGTGGATCAGGATTCTGTACTGGAGAATCTCTCGGCGACCCATAATGTCACAAACATGCTGTGTGTGACTGAAATCTATACTCCTGGTAGAGCTAGTACGACCTTTGACGTAGGAAATCTGTTTTAACGTGTCATTCGACTTGAACGACTGAAATCATGTGATTCTGAGAATGTCTGTATCCTGTATTAGGAAATTTTACTTGTGGTCGACGAGTCGTAAGGTTTGCAGATGTTTTCTGGCCAATCAGCTTGTCAATGGATGACCACAAACATCTCTTGCAACAGACCTTAATGCCATGCCCAAATTCCGCTTACCAGTAACTGGTCATCCTCGAGTAGGGTTGGTTAACGATCTAGATCATTGAGATTGATAATCGTAACTAAATATCGATCAGTTATCGATAAATATCGGATAAGTAATTTCGAGCAAAATTGCAAAAGCAAGTCGTAAAGAAATGAATATATATCAAACTACAGCAGCCTGAACATAATTTAGAAGCAACTTCGTCACGATATGGCCGGAACAATGCCGATATGACGTTAAAATTTCACTCACTCACTCACTTAGTAGCAGCCTATGAATAAAAACTGTGTGTATTGCGTGAGTAAATTAACGCTCGCAAAGGTTTTATATACGATATTATCGATGACACTTTTTCATATAGATAATCATTAATATTTCATCATATCGACGATATTTCCGATTATTGATCGTTTTAGCCAGACTTATCTTTGAGCAGTTGTAGGTTCTGTAGGCCCCGTATTTGCCCATCAACATCTATTTATTTTCCAAGTTATCGATCTGTAAGAACAGTTTACAGAAAATTGATATTTATGACGGGTATGCGTATTGCAAGTAATGCTCGCCTTTGATTCGTAGCACGTTCTGATATGAAATCAATGTATGATGCACCCGAAGTGTCAAAATAATCATACAAACAAAATTGTAAAAAGCTATAAAGGGGTTACAAATCATTGGCGATGCGATACCTTTTTCCATGTGTATACAGCATACCTTTCCCATGATTGAGCATGTGGGTTTCATGTCAAATAATATAGTCCATAATCCATGCTACTATTAAGTTTGGTTGAGATATAGCCCAGTTGTTAAAGCTTTCGGTCATCACGCCGAAGGCTGGGGTTCGGATTCACAGATAGGTACAACTGCTGAAGACCACTTCTGGGGTCTCCGCTGTGATATTGCTTCTACATCAGTATTAGCCGAAACTGACAAAACCACACCCACTCACTATTGCCTTTGTGACTTTGCACATACTCATTAAGTATTCTTTAAAGTTGCTTTTATGAAACTCATTAAGTATTCTTTAAAGTTGCTTTTATGATATATTTCAACTGCTGTAGAAAAGTCATATTGCAGATGTTTAATGCGGATCTAAGTGATACATAATCAATAGAGACTCAAGACATTGGCCTACGGTGCTAACCTTCTCTTGCAAACTTTTATGTGTCTGTTTTTTTGTGTCTACTAATGCCCTTGACGCGGATTGAACTAGCCAGTCCCTGCAATCATAATGTACTCATCGTATCTTGTTTGTTGATCACAGTATTGCAGCCATTATATTTTGTTGATTGTTCCGTTCTTTCCGGTGAGGAAATAAAATATATGTAAAACTTAGGGAACAGCAGTATTCATTTATCCGAACCATTACCCCAACATCAGTAGCTTCGTGGCCAGACTTGATGTGAAAAGCCGCATGGTTCGAGCAAAGATATACACACTTCAATCTGGACCGGAGTTTAGTATCCATGGTGTGTCATCGTGCGTCAAACACTACATACTAGAAGCGGAGGTGGTAACCATAGTGTTTATCGGTGCGTCAAACACTACATACTAGAAGCGGAGGTGGTAACCATAGTGTTTATCGGTGCGTCAAACACTACATACTAGAAGCGAAGGTGGTAACCATAGTGTTTATCGGTACATCAAACACTACATACCAGAAGCGGAGGTGGTAACCATAGTGTTTATCGGTGCGTCAAATACTACATACTAGAAGCAGAGGTGTTAACCATAGTGTTTATCGGTGCTGCAAACACTAAAAACTAGAACAACCCGTGGTGACGATAGTGCACTTTATATTCTCATGATTCAAAAACTGCAAACTAAAACAGGAACGTGGTAACCATACTGAAGCGTATGTCCAGCTGCTCCAAGCACTTGAACTAAAACTAACTCTGGTGACCACAGTAAAGTCTCCTGCTCCAAGCACTCCAAACTAAAACTAACTCTGGTGACCACAGTAAAGTCTCCTGCTCCAAGCACTCCAAACTAAAACTAACTCTGGTGATCACAGTAAAGTCTCCTGCTCCAAGCACTCCAAACTAAAACTAACTCTGGTGACCACAGTAAAGTCTCCTGCTCCAAGCACTCCAAACTAAAACTAACTCTGGTGACCACAGTAAAGTCTCCTGCTCCAAGCACTCCAAACTAAAACTAACTCTGGTGATCACAGTAAAGTCTCCTGCTCCAAGCACTCCAAACTAAAACTAACTCTGGTGACCACAGTGAAGTCTCCAGCTCCAAGCACTAGACCTAAAACTAACTCTGGTGGCCACAGTAAGGTCTCCTGCGCCAAGCACTAGACCAAAAACTAACTCTGGTGACCACAGTAAAGTGCATGCCCCCCTGCTTCAAGCACTTCAAACTGAAGTCCGTATTGACCATGGTGACGTGTGTTTCCTGATTCGTCAATGCCTAGGAATTAAAACCGACTCTGGTGACCATACTGAAGTGTTTGTCATCCTGTCTCAACCACCATAAACTACATCCGGAGTGTGGTGTCCGTTGTGATTTGTCCTGTTTCTCAAGCACTACAAAGTAGAACCGACTGTCCAAGTGCTCCAAGCACGACAACGTAAAACCAACTGTGATGACCATTTTGGCGTTTTTGTCCAAGTGCTTCAAGCACTAGAACCTAAAACCGACTGTGGTGGCCATATTGACGTGTGTGTCTTCGCACCTCAAGCACTAGAAACTAAAACCGACTGTGGTGGCCATATTGACGTGTGTGTCTTCGTACCTCAAGCACTAGAAACTAAAACCGACTATGGTGACCATATTGAAGTGTGTATCTTCGTACCTCAAGGACTAGAAACTAAAACCGACTGCGGTGACCATATTGACGTGTGTGTCTTCGTACCTCAAGCACTAGAAACTAAAACCGACTGTGGTGGCCATCTTGACGTGTGTGTCTTCGTACCTCAAGCACTAGAAACTAAAACCGACTGTGGTGACCATATTGACGTGTGTGTCCTCGTACCTCAAGCACTAGAAACTATTAAAACCGACTGTGGTGGCCATATTGACGTGTGTGTCCTCGTACCTCAAGCATTAGAAACTATTAAAACCGACTGTGGTGGCCATATTGACGTGTGTGTCCTCGTACCTCAAGCACTAGAAACTATTAAAACAGACTGTGGTGGCCGTATTGACGTGTGTGTCTTCGTACCTCAACCACTAGAAACTATAACCGACTGTGGTGGCCATGTTGACGCGAATGTGCTTGTACTTCAAGCATTACAAAATAAAACCGGAATGTGGTAATCGTACTGAAGTATGTGTTTTCCTCGATCAAGCACTACGAACTAAAACCGAAAATGTTGACCATAGTGAAGTGTGTGTATTGCACAACAAACTTGACAAGGAACATGATAACCATATTGGTGGACGTGTCTTCATCTCTTATCTTTACATTCTGCAGGCCCTTGTAAATATCATGATTTAAAGTTGCAGATGTAAGATAACATGTGATTCCAAAACAAACATGTGTTCCAACTGCCCAAGCCTATTGATAGGTTCCAACTTCTGTGAACAAAGACTTGACAGAAGACAGAGTATTTCAACATTGTGCATAGTGTATGAACTCCGAACTGTTGTGAGGTTTTCAATTTCTTTTAGCAGACACTAGCCAGAGATACCGGCACCTTTTGCCACTGTCTGCTCAAATGGATGAAGAGTCTATTTACTAGTCTTCTTGATAGAAATATTTATTCACTGATTAACGCGGCATGCAGCAGTGTTCCAGCTATAAGCCGGGGTCAGTGGGGTAGCCTAGTGGTAACGCCGAAGAGACGGGCTTGATTCCCCACATGGGTACAATGTGTGAAGACATTTCTAGTGTCCCCTGATATTGTTGGAAGAATGCTAAGAGTGGCGCAAAACTGAACTTACTCACTCCAGCTTAATAACAGCGGTCTGGAAATGTTTGAGTATGGTCGATTGATATTACGAGTATCGATGAATGCATCCAACCACCCAGCCTGACGCGCCAATCCCTCTTGTTGCCTCTTATAATATATCAAACATAGGTTCCTGAAGGTCAGGGATCTTCACGGTTCAAACGTTGTTTTTTGCACTGGATATTACCAGTTATTTCAAGTATTGTAAAGCAGAAAATGGACAATGTTTTTTCATCGAGAAATGATCCAATCTGAATTGTGCAGCATCTGTAGCTTTTTCTATGGACTTTGTGCCGCAAAAGAAATATATCATGGAATGATTTTTTCCAAGAAATCTTTTCGTACACTCTTAAATTTGAAATCTGTACATAACTGCACAAAGTCAGTGAACAACTGCAAAAATCTACCCAAACACTAGTATTCAGAATGACAACAATATAGAGCAAGACAGTGGGCACAATATGTGCCAGAAAAAGTACATACTTCATTTGGCACTACCACCTCGACCATATTGAAAGCTAAACCCTTTGATACTCAGACAGCATTTTTTTGCACTGTATTTGTAATATTTGACAATTGTACTTTGACCATGCTCCTACACAATTCAAAGATGCAACTGCGTGATTCATGTGATCAATGAAGACATTTTTGCATTGTAACCATATTGAAAAGCCTAGCATACGTGGTCGGTCAACATAAAAAAAACCCCGGTAAATTCTGATTTTTCAACTTTGTACACCATGTCACATGGCAGACTTAAGGAAAAATGTCATTCCATGATTAATGGGGCACTTGTTAATAACCGTGGTGACATTCAGGACGGTGTGCATCTCTCATTTACTAACAAAACAATATATACCAACCGAAAATGTAACTGTGGATAACATAAAATTGCATAAAATACAAGTTATTTGAAAAGTTATAAAAATAACCCAATATAAACATGTAGCAAAGCAATTTGCATGAAATCTGATACACTTTGTGTACATTTAACTCACTCACCTATTGAATTCTTTTTGACACCTGAAGTTCACACACCTGATATTGAAAATTTAAGAACGGTTGATTATTGGTTTTAACCTTTTAATCAGTCTGTATTTGTCTCTCAGGTGAAATATCTCTCCACAATATGCACTTTGAGTATATAAAATGGACTTTCAGCCAATTATACTTTGTATTTTGGCAATTCCAAATGACAAGTGAACACATCTGTAGCAAATTAGGAGCCACGTGACCATGCGGGTAATCCGAAATAGTTGTCCCGCTTTACTTCATAGTTCATGCGGAAATCGAGTTTTCTATCAATCTCTAATTCGAACAAATTCTGTGTTTTTACTGATCAGTAGTTCAGTACATAATTTCGAATTGGAGATGTTATACTGTCTTAGTAATCACAGTGCGAAGCCACGCGTGCTCATAGACGCTGGCCCGTCCGTCATTAGTACTTCATTTCCAGACATGGTTAAACATAACAAAGACCTTTAATATGAAATGTCGTATACTGGTGATGAGAGTGACGTATTTGGGATGCAAGTATCGATCTGTAATAGAAGCAAGTCTCCAATAGATGGAGGTATGGTCATCGTGATGCTCTTGAAATCAGTTTCACATTTGCCTCGGACCAGCAGTTACGTCACAAAGACGACCACATTCGGCTGACCCATCAAAGGAATCGATGCCAGACTGCCGGTGAGGCTGCTCGGACCATTCCTGGCTTATATGCAATCACAACATCCGGTCCCAACGTCATGCAATACGTCCAATTTGCTTCAACCTCACCCAGAATCACGTCTTGCCTGGTGAGGATAGCATCTACGGTACAGGAGACAAGATTAGCATGATGTTTCGTTCACTGACGAGTCGAAATTACATTTAGACAGCTCAACTGACAGGGCAAGAGTGTGAAGGGGAACGCTATGCTGACGCGTGCGTTGTTCAGCGTCGACAGTATGGTGGAGACTGCGTTACGGTATGGGGTAGCATCACATCTGATGGTCGGACACAACTTCTCATTGTCAATGGCAATCTGACAGGTCTGCGATACAAGGATAAGATCATTGGGTCTCATGTATAGCCGTTCATTCAAGGGCAGAGACGTAATTTCACGCCTCAACAACATAATACCTCCTCCTCATCATCATGAAAACATTTATGTAGCGCCAATTCCAGTCCAAAAGTACTGCTCAGTAGCGCTCTCCGAACAGCTCAAGAAAGAAAAGTTGGATTTGAAAATCTTCAGGTTGTTTATTGTCCTTAGCTCCAGTGGAAGATGATTCCAGAGAGTGGGTCCTGCCACCTGAAATGATCGATCCCCAAACCTGGTGCTGGACTTAAAGCGTGGGACAACAAGAAGACCAAGTTTTTCAGATCGGAGACTTCGGTGGGGCTGATATCTGGTGATCAGGTCAGAGAGATACTTTGGAGCTAGGTTATTGA